CCCCCCCCTTTCTCCCATCTCTCTGTCCTCCTGCCAGCCTCACCATGTAGTCTTGAAGCAGCTCCTTGGCACTCTGCTGATGGGGGATCATCAGCCAGATGTTGGGGAAGGAGGTAGAATTGTAGCTGAGACCTTGGCACATTTCTATCTTTATGGGTTCACAGGAGGCCTCTGCTAGTGCAGGGAGAGAAGAGAACATCTCAGAGACTAACCAGAATACAACTGTAAAGAGTTGAGTTGTCCTCTGCTTTCGTGGGGAAGAGGACTCCCTGCGTTGAAAACAAAAACAATGTGAAAAATGGAGCCAGGTTGTCCTCCAGAGTTCACACGTCTGGTTTCCTGTTGGTGCCTCAGGTTGGTTTTTAGGTTTTGCTCAACGTCATTGGACCAGCCAATGAAAAAAGGAGGATGGTGGGCTGGATGGGAGAGAGACTGTAGTTGACCCTCCAAGGAAGTTGGCTTGAGATCAGAGGAAAGGCCTGAACTGTGGATGGTGTGGGGCATAGTTCTGCAAACGCCAATGAAGGCAGCTTGGTCCATGTAAATTACTCACCCACTGAGTACATTACTCACCCACTGAGGTGGAAGAAATGCTGGTACAGTTGACTTCATCACTTCCATCTGGACAGTTTCTCCAGCTGTCACACACAAACTCCTGGGCCACACACTCGCCATTTCCGCAGACAAATTCTAGAGGTCCACATGTTTCTTGCATGGGATGATGGGCGGGGAAAAGAGAGAAGAATTTAGAGAAAATAATTCCTTGGACTTTCAAGATCAGTGTTTCTCAACCTTCAAAGCTTGAAGATGGATGGACTTCAACTCCCAGAAAAGTCCACCCATCTTTAAGGTGTTAAAGTTGAGAAACACTTCTTAAGTTGGTCAAGATGTCTACTTAGAGTTGAAGTCCACCCGTCTTCAAGCCACCAAGGTTGAGAAATACTGCTTAAGATGAAGAAAATGTCTACTTGGAGTTGGAGTCCATCTCCATGCTGCCAAGGTCGAGGAGCATTGCTTAAAAGAGTGAAGAAGATGTCTACCACCCGTGGCCTTTCTCTTTGAAGCCAGAGATTCCCAGAAGAAATCCAGATTATTCTCGTGCCTTGCTTGAAAATAATCACCTCAATTCTTCAGTTGAAAATAAAAAATCAGAGCATCTGGAAAAATGCACTGCAAATAGCTCAGGCACAAAGCTTGGTCTTAGCACAACCTGTTGACCCCAGCATGGCCAGAAAACCTTTGACAAGTGTTTATCTTCCACTTAGATTCATCGATTTGAAGGCAGGGATTCATTGACACCAGACTGCCATCTCCTCAATCTCAGCTGAGCTCCTGCAGAAGCTGGCTGCTTGTAGCAGTGATTTATTAACTGTTTAGCCTGTAAGTGAAGCGGTCATGCGTGAAAGTTAATGTTTGTATCTTTCAAAGTTGGATTCCAGGCAACAGTTTACAGAAGGATGAGCATTTTGTCTGATTAGATCACCTGCCCAGGTGGCCTGCACCTTTTACACACTTGCTATGATTTTCTTGCCAACACTTAGATTAATACAGTGGAAGACACAGGATGTCCATTTACACAATGCTTAAAAAAAAGGAACAGAAGGAAGTACAACACGTCTTCAAGAGAATACCAGAGAAGACACCAGTTTAGGTCATTTCCTTGTTAAGGATTTCTATTATTTTACTGTGTTGTTTAGCTACACAATTTTTAACGAAGGCTTTGTATCACTGCAGGGATGGTGGGGCGAAGGCAGAAGAGGTAACACAATCAGCTCAAAAAGCCTGCAGAGAATTGAAGATGACTTTTCGTGCTTTTGCAATTAGCCAATGCCTGTATCAAAAATTTGCACCATTATTTTTCCAACATTAAATCCCTCCATCCCTCCCTCCATCCACTGACCTACCCATCCATCCATCCATCCATCCTTCCATCCATCCATCCATCCACCCATCCATCCACAGCATTACTCCTCAACCTTGGCCACTTTTAAGAGGTGTGGATTCAAACTCCAAGAACCTCCTCCGCTAGCAAGGCTGGGAATTTCAGTCCAGACATCTTAAAAAGTTGCCAGAATTGAGAAATGCTGATCTGTCTGTCTTTCTACCCAATTATGAAATGGTAAACACAATCCTTCTGCTTGTATAAACACAACCCCACACATCTTGTGGATGGGGAGGACTTCTCAAAAGGTCTTTTTAGTTTGCCTGGGAAAATGGAACCATAATTACAGGAATCAAGAAACCAAAACTGTGTTCCATCTCAGAAAGAACAGAGCTTATAAACAAGCGACCACAATGCTTCTCATGAGACTTGGATCAAGTTCAGCCTTTCTCTACTTGGCTGGGACACCTGAATAATTTATAGAGAAGGAGGAGGCAGAGGAGAAAGGAGGAGAGGGGAGGAGGATCTTTGGTGCTTTCTGAACTTGGTTGTTTTCTTGCAGATGTTTCAACTGGGGAACATCATCAGTGTACGGATACTGTTCCCTAGTTTGGTCATTAAATGTCTGCAAGAAAACAACCAAGCTCAGAGAGCACCAAGGACCCCACATGAAATCAATATTCCCACCAACACTGACAGGGTAACCTATGATATATAAACAGAAGGCAACCCCGCTTTCTAGCACTAGATGAAGTTACCTAGTTGGATAATGAAACCTCTTCAACAAAACCACCAAGTTCAGAGAACACCAAGTACTCCACAGTTCTACCTTGAACTACAAATATTATTTCTGCATTTTCCTTTTGTTTTCTTTTGATTTATTTCCCAGGGCAGCTACCCATCCAATCATTAACCCTGCTTAGCTTCCCATTCCAGGTCAGGTCTGCCCCACTTTTGGGGGGCAAGAGGTGAGCAGATGACTAGCTGCATCGTTTAGCCTCAACAGAGCCACCATTACCTACTTTCACTCAGGTTTTGGGCACGGTAGATAGCAAAGAACCCATCATCCGCAATCTCTTCGTCAGCCACGAACAGGATGGTCATGATGTGCTGGGACGAAGTCAACACAGGAGGTTTATTGGAGTTGCAGAATCTGCAGAGAGTAGAAAAATCAAACTCAACTCTGGAAATGTGGGATGGTTACTTTAGGGGTCAATGCAACCAAGAACCTGGAGCCAAAGTGAGCGTGCCCATGTGGATTTTTCCACAAGGAGCACAGGAGTGTGTGTTGATCACATCACAAATGAGACCATTCGACAACATTTTGGTGTGGCACCGATTATGGAGAAGATGGGAAAAGGCCAGCTCTGCTGGTATGCAAGCAGTGGGCCTGCACCCCAAAGATGCAGCTGGCCATGCAAACTGGTGTTCAATGATCCAAAAGATGGACCCTGCACCTGCGGGATTACACTAGGAGGAGGAGGAGGAGGAGGAGGAAGAAGAAGAAGAAGAAGAAGAAGGAAGAGAAGGAGAAGGAGAAGGAGAAGGAGAAGGAGAAGAAGAAAAAGAAGAAGAAGAAGAAGAAGAAGAAGAAGAAGAAGAAGAAGAAGAAAAGAAGAAGAAGAGGTGTGTGTGTGTGTGTGTGTGTGTGTGTGTGCAAGAGTCCAACTTACCGACCCATGAGGCTGCTGGCCCCCATGGCGGCACTGTCGTACACCTCCACAAAGTCAAAATTGCAGTCTTTGTGGGACTCAAGGCTGAAGTTGTAGAATTGCAGTTGGATCACGTGGTTCACAGGCACAGAGATGTGCCAGAGGCAAATCTGGAAGGGAAGAGAAGAGAAATCTAGGAGATAAGCGGAGAGGGGAGGGTGGGGAGCTCCATGCTAAGAAAGAGGGGTGTTACAAGGGGTGGTAAAAATCTGGAAGAGAGTCCCAAACCTTTTCATCTAGTATCCCCCTAGATACATTTGAACATGCATGTATCATTGGTTGGGAGGAAAGAGGGGCATGAAGACAAAGACCTCAAAATTATGAGGACTGGACTCTTCTCTTTTGGTTGGAATCTTCAACAATATGAACATGAAGAATTAATCCAAAAGAGTTGGGATGAAATGCTTTGCTATGTATTGACCACAGGATCTTTGTATGGGACTGTTTTTCCTCCCTTACTCAGACTCCATCGGGGTAGGAGGCCCATTTTTTTAAACCACTAAGGTTTAAATTTCCAAGTGAAAATTTCTTAGACTCAAAATTTCTCTCTCTGTCTCTCACTCTTATCTCTCATCTATCTATCTATCTATCTATCTATCTATCTATCTATCTATCTATC